TTTTTTTTTTTTTTTTTTTTTTTTTTTAACTTTAAATTTTCAATATCGATTTACAGGAAGTTGCAAACATAGTGCAGAGAGGTCTCAGCCTCCACTTTGCTTCCACTGTCGGTTATATTCTGCGTAGCTAGAGCACAATAATAAAGTCAGGACATTGACACCGAGATGAAATGTGCCTATAATTCTGTGTCACCTTATCCCTGAAAACTTGTAATCATTACCACTATCAAGATACAAACTATTTCAGCACCACAAAGATCTCTCTGTTACAGTCCCTTTATAGTCACCCCTTTTCTCCACGCCATCCCTAACCCTTGGCAACCACCAGTCTGTTCTCCATTTCTATAATTTTGTCGTTTGGGGAATGTTTTATAAATTGGTCCTTAGAGCTTGAGACCTTCTAAGATTAGCTCGCCCCCTCCCCCCACTCAACTCAGCAGAAGCCCTTGAGATTTATCCAAGTTATTACACGTATCTTTAGTTTGTTCCTTTCTATTACTGAGTGGTATTCCACATTATGGGTGTAACAGAGTTTAATCGTTCACCATTCACCTATCATATAACATTTTGATTCTTTCTTCTTTTTTTCGTTTGGGGTTATTACAAATAAAGCTGCTTTGAAAATTTGTAGGCAGGTTGTTATGTGAACCTAAATTTTCATTTCTCTGGGATAAATGTCCAGGAGTGTGATTGCTGGGTCATAAGGTGAGTACATGTTTATTTTTAAGGAAACAGCTAAACTCTTTTCCAGAAGTGTGGTACTATTTTACATTCCCTCCAACCATATATGAGAGAGCCGGTTTTTCCACATCCTTGTCAGCATTTGGTATTGTCACTGTTTTTTTACATTTACTGTTCTGATTAGGTGTGCAGTGATACCTCACTCTGGTCTCATTTGCATTTTCCTAAAGTCTGGCGATGTTCAGCCCTTTCTCGTGTCTTTATTTTTCATACACATATCCTTTTCAGTGAAATGCCTCTCCATGTCGATTTCTTATTTTCTTACTTGTTCTGTTGCTGTTGAGTTTTGAAGGTTCATGAGTCCTTTATCAGATACATCAGCTTCTCAACCTTTTTGGCACCAGGGACAAGTTTCGTGGAAGACAGTTTTTTTCCATGGTTTTGGGAAGTGGTGGCGGTGGAACTCTTCCACATAAGATCATCACATGTTTGTTAGGTTCTCATAAGGAGCGTGCAACTTAGATCCGTCGCAATCGCAGTTCACTATGGGGTTCACGGTCCTGTGAGAATCTAATGCCCTGGCTGATCCGACAGGAGGCAGAGCTCAGGCGGTGATGCTGCCTCAGGAGCTGCTCACCTCCTGTGCGGCCAGCTTCCTAAAAGGCCATTGACCTGTGCCTTCTGAGGCCCGGGGGTTGGGGACCCCTGAGAGACGTGGTTTGCAAAGAGTTTGTTCCAGTATTTTGCTTATGTTTTCATCCTCTTCAAAGGATCGTTTGTAAAGAAAAAGTTTTTAACTTTAATAAAATCCATTTTTCTTTTTTAAACTTACATGTTTAGGGGTACATGTGCTGGTTTGTTATATAGGTATATATGCATCATGGGGTTTGGCATATAGATTATTTCATCACCCAAGTAATAAGCATAGTACCTGATAGGTAGTTTTTCAGTCCTCACCCTCTTCCCACCCTCCACACTCAAGTAGGCTCCAGGGTATAAAAGCACAATTGATTTTTGTATGTTGATCTTTCTGTGACCTTGCTGAACTTACTAATTCTAGGAGTTTTGTTGTTTGTGGGTTTTTTTTGTTTGTTTTTGAAGATTCCTTGCAAATTTTTTTCAACATAGGGAAACATTACATCTGCAAATAGGAACAGTTTAGTTCTTCCTTGCATTTCCTTTTCTTGCCTTACTGTGCTGGCTAGAACTTCCAGTACTGTGTTGTGGTGAGATGGGACATCATTGTTTTGTTCCTGAGCTTAGGGAGAAAGCATTCAGTCTTTTTTTTTTTTTGACCAAGTCTCACTCTGTCATTTAGGCTGGAGTCCAGTGATACGATCTCAGCTCAACCGCAACCTCTGCCTCCTGAGTTCAAGCGATTCTCCCACCTCAGCCTCCTGAGTAGCTGGGATTACAGGTGTGTGCCACCATACCCAGCTAATTTTTGTATATTTAGCAGAGGTGGGGTTTCACCATGTTGGCCAGGCTGGTCTCAAATTCCTGACCTCAAGTTATCCTCCCACCTTGCCCCCATAAAGTGCAGGGATTACAGATGTTAGCCACTGTGCCTCTCCAGCATTTGGTTTTTCATTATGAAGTCTAATGTTAGTTGTAGGGTTTTTTTTTTTTTTTTCAAATTTTTAAAATGTCAGTTTGAGGAAGTTCCCTGCATTCCCAGTTTTCTGAGAATTTTTATCATGAATCGATGTTGAATTTTGTTAAGTACTTTTTCTGCGTCAATTGAAGAATCATGAATTTTTTCCTTTTAGTTTGTGAATATGGTGGATAATTAATATGTTGATTGATTTTTGAATATTAAATCTATCTTTCATCCCTGGAATAAACATTGTTAGCTCATGGTGTATAATTCTGTTTTGATATAGTGCTGAAAGCCATTTGCTAATATTTTGTTGATTGTTGCATTTATATTCATGAAGGATATTGGTCTGTAGTTTCTCTCTGTCTGTGTCTCACTCTGTCTCCTTGTTTCTCTGTCATGCAATCTTTGGTTAGTTTGGATAGCAGGCTGATATTGGCTTCCTAAAATGAATTGGAAAGTGTTCCTGCCTCTTCTGTTTTTGGGGAAAGTGTATTATAATTGGTGTTAATTCTTCTTTAAATATTTGTTAGAATAGTGTGGTCTATTCTAAGAAATATTGGAGTTTTCAGTATTCTAACTGGGTCTGGAGTTTTCTTTTTTTGTAATTTAAAAATTATAAATTCAATTTCCTAATAAAGTACTATGTAAATGATCTATTTCATATTGTGTGAGTTGAGGTAATGTGTGCTTTTTGAGGAATGGGTTCATTTTATCTAAGTTGTCTGATTTATTTATATGGTATTTACTCATTATCTCTTTGGTATCTGCGGGATCTGTAGTAGTCTCTCTTTCTTTCCTAATATTAATTTGTGTTTTTTTCTCCTTTTTGTCAGTCTTGATTGAGATGTGTCCATTTTATTGATTTTTTTCAGAAAGTCATCTTTTACTGATTTTATTTTTCTGTTTCCAATTTCACTGATTATTGATCTTTATTATTTCCTCTCTCTGCTTTCTTTCAGCTTATTTTTCTCTTCCTTTTCTATGCTCTTGAGGTATAATCCTAGGTTTTAATTTGAGACTTTTTCTGCTTTTTAATGTAAGCTTTTAATGCTATAAATTTCCTTCGTAGCACTGTTTTTGCTGCATCCAGAAATTTTGATATGTTGTGCTTTTATTTTCATTCAGTTCAATGTGCGTTTTGATTTTCACTTACTTCCTCTTTGATCTGTCCATTATTTAATAGGGAATTTAACTTCCAAGTGTTTATTTTCCTATTAGCTTTCTGTTGCTGATTTCTACCTTAATTTCATTATGATCAGATGATACACTCCATACGATTTAATTCTTTTAAACTTGAAGAGTTGGTTTTATGGATGTGATCTGTGTTGAGTGTGCTCTGTGGTTGCTTGAAGAGAATGCTGCTAGTATTGAGTGGCGTGCTCTGGAAGTGTCAGTTAGCTTCTGCTGCTTGACCATGTTAATTGGGTTCTCTTATATCTTTGGTGATTTTCTATCCAATTGTTTTATCAGTTGTTGAGAAAGGAGTGTTGAAGTCCCCAAATATAATTGTGGATATATCTAATTTTCCTTTCAGTTCTATCAGTTTTTCCTTCACGTATTTTATAAGTCT